AGAAGCCAGTCATGCCACGTGAGCTGTTAGCCAAGTTACTCGGCTTGAACAGCTCCTTCAGAAACAACCCTCAGTAGGAAGGAGAGTGTCAGACATAAGACCTATGATACCCAGTCCAGTAGCATCAGCGTCACCTGGGAGCTTGTTAGAAATTCAGAATCGCACAGATGCTGAATCAGAAATGCTGGGTGATTCATTTGTTCATTAAAGTTTGAGAAGACTGACATAAAACATTCTCATCTTCAATTAGAAAGGAGGTAGGAAGGAACTATACTTACTGATAGTTTCTGAAATAGTTCCTTCACCTGAGGTCTGTGCTCCCAAATCTTTCCAGTGGCTCTGAACCATCATGGAAATAACGTAAGCATCATCCTTGTTCAGAAATCACAGAGGGAACTAGAAATGTGTCCATGCCGTGTTGGGACAATTGTATAGTGAAAAGAGCACAGATTTAGAGTCAGAGAGATCTGAGTTTGGATTCTGGCTTGACTATCTGCTAGCTTTCTCATCATGGACTGATTACATGAGCTTACCGAGTCGCACTTTTCTTCATCTGTAAAATGGATATACTAAAACCTACATCATGGCATTGCTATGAGGATTAAATGAGAATGTATTTATGTCCAAAAATGCCTGGTGCAGTCTCGGATAAAATTTAGACATCCAATAAATGGTAGCTGTTGTTATTATTATCTTTTTGTAAATTTTAATCAGGAAGTCCCCCTCTATAATTTTAGAATGATTTGGTGTGCTTTCCTAGGAATGGGACAGGTTATACTGAAAGAAGGCCTTTGCAGAAATTTCGTTACAGTAATATGTGGCAGCGTATTACATAATGACTCTGCTCTCTAGGGGCTTCCGAGACAGATCTGCAGAGATATCAACAACAAAATAGGCTGAAGAGAAGTGACCCCACTGTCTGTCCTGCCTCTGACACCATCAAGAAACTTACCAGCTGGGTTCCAAAAGCAGATTTCTTTATTACAGTGATAATGTAAGAGGCAAAGAAAACAGCTGAATTTCCAGATTCCAGGGAGAATTGGTGGCACCAGCAGCCCCTTGAAATTATCTTTTGACTTAAAAACTGAATACACTGGATATGGAAGTCATTAAAAGAGAATAAACATGAAACCCCATGAAGTCACTTTCACTGAGTCTATTTTAGAGTGTACCCACACTGCAGGCAATAAAACATGACACACCATGCAGTGGTTCTGATTAATAGGCCCTCAGGTGCGTACTAAGGCAAGAGGGAAAATAAGAAAATGGGGATAGGTGACAGTTTGCCAGAGAATGAAAGTAAGATCATAGCAGCAGGATGTGGGGCCGAGAAAGAAGGGTTTCATGAAAGGACAAGAAGATTATAGCTCTATTTACCTATAAAATGCAAAATATAAACCAAACGTTAGGCATATTTAAAATGTACACTTATCTAATTACACGAAGGATTTGTACATTGCAAGGTAATTTTTCACTGCAATGTATTAATACTATTGATCAGTGATTTCCTTTATCATTTTAATGTAGTTGCCAGGGGAAAAAAGAGGAGGAAGTTCTGTCTAGTGAAGTGTTGATAATCTGTCCAGCCATATGATAGGCGAGGAAAAACAATGAAGAGCTCTTGAGCCCAATTTGCCGTTTATGTGGCTGCTGGAGTCTTGCTAGCTAACGGCTGGCTCCATGCATAGCATGGCTCCACCACACTGGCCAAAAAAAGTTTCATTAATTCTACCAAGTTTTTCCTCTGATGAGTAACCTGCTCACCTGGGAGAGCCAGATGAAATAACACTGTAGCTAACATTTAGAGCTGAGCTTTTCTGGCCAAGTAAAAACTACTGAGATTCCCTGGAAAAGTCTGTTTTCCTCACCTAGGTAAACACTGTTATCCCCACAGCATGTTTTGTTGGGCTTTTCATCTTTGGGTGAGAGAAAATGATTCCGTTCAAGGATAAGCATGGAGAGGAAATTAAACAATTAATGTTTCTTCTACCACAAGAGAAGAACAAGGCAAGAAAATCGAAACAGACTTGGGGGCAGTCGTCTATGCATTTCTACAAGTAAATTAGTAACGTAAGGAAAGGAAAATAAGGACAAATTTAAACAAACTTAGAGGATGAATACTGGACAATGGTAGATAGGAAAAGAAGTGTTAATGAGGCATAATAGCAGATTGCCAATAGTCTATGTTTCTATGAATTTAACCTAGAATTACTGCAGCATGTTCTCACCAAGATCTCCAGCTAAAACCAAAGTGTGTGAAATTTCTTCATTCTGATTTTCAGCCTGAGTTTATCACCTCAATGGTATTTATAATATTATTATAATAATTTTTGCTGGTAATGTTACCAAAGTTTGCCTCCTTGTTTTTTAAATCCACCCTCATTTTTTAAACATTATTTAACTATGAAAAATACATTCTAGTTCAGTTTGTTGACACAAATATGTGATACAAGTTCATTATTTTTTGGAACACAGTATATCTTTGCAGGCTGCCCCAACCTCACTGTCTGGTCTGGTCGCTGCTGATGGTCTGCTGTGCCTGATGGTGCCAAGTGAGCACTGACAGACACACAGAGATTTGTGACCTTTTGTATCAGTTATCCTTGCCCAGCCACTAACAAAGATGTGACCTTGAGCAAGTCCATTCCCTTAATCTCTTCATCTGAAAAATGAAGCGGTTGGAGTAGATGAGCTTTAAGGTCTTTTCAGTTCAGTCTCAGTTTCCATGACTCTAAGCAAGACTCTTTATTCCTTTTAAATTCAGTTCAGCAGATAGCAGCTTAGCACAAACTTATGTGCAAGGCAGTACCTGCTAGAAGGTACACAGAGTAAAATTGTTTCTGCTTTCAAGAAGCTTATGAAGTTAAAGACAAATTACACAAATAATTATTAGAGTTGGTAGAATGTACAAAGACAGTAATGTATAAAAGTGAGGATTCAAGAAGGGTACTTTCCTTTGGGAAATGCTTTATAAATAAGGTGGCATTTGGATGGCCCTTAAAGAAGCTATATGTAGATATTGGAAAAATGGAGAAAATACCATGAACAAGATAGGAAAGAGTAGGACGTTGCTGAAGTGGAGAATGGAATGGAGAGATAAAAGTGAGAAATTAGATTGGGGCCACATCATAGCAGCCTTGAATGCCAAACCAAGAAGTTTAACTTTAATCCAATAAGCAAAGAGGATCTTGAGCAAAGCAGTGATGTGTTTAGAATAGTACTTCAGAAAAATTAATGAAACGTTGGTGTGAAGGATGGCTAGAGGTAAAGAGAACTGGCAAAAGTAAAGAAGTCCTGGCCAGAGTAAAAAACACAGGATTTGGCCCGTGGTTGGATGTGGGAAGAAAAGAAAAAAAGAAAGAATTAAAGATGACTCCTCAATTGTAGGCTCAAGTAACTGGATGGAGATAATACCTATGGCAGGAAATGGGAAGTCTGGAGAAGGAACAGATTTTGAGGGAAAGGCAATGAATTCTATTTTAAACTTTTTGAATTAGAAGAGCCTGTATAGTATTTGATGGAGATGTGAGCTTCTCAAAATTAGAGATTCTGTCTTATTTAGAGATTTTGTCTTATTCACCCAGGTTCCTAATAGATGCTATATAAATAACAAATGATTAAGTAAATGAATGAACCAATAACCAGCTGTTAGTGAGAATGTGGGTCTGGAGCTCCACAGAAAAGTGAGAACTAGAGAAAGCAACATGGGTGCTCTCTATGGAGAAGTGATTGTCGAGGTCATGAAAGGTAGGTGTAGACAAAGGTAGGTGTAGACAAAGCCCGAGGAGAGGAATATCTACATTTAGAGAACAGGAGAAAGAAAACAAGCCAGTGAAGCCGACAGGAGTGTGAACTGAGAGGTAGAAGGAAAATCAAGATAATCCAGTGTCCTGATGCAGAAGGAAGAGAGTTACAGGAATAAAGTAGTCATTGAAGCCCAATTTGGCCAAAGGGGCAGGATCTGGAAAAAGACCACTGTGTTTGCGGCTCTGAGACAGACAATATCCATTCTGTAGCCCCTGAGGCTGAACTCCTCAGGATTAGAAGATGTGGAAGGAAATGGAGACTTTGCAGTGAAGGGCAGAGAGAAGGCAAGAGGCGCTCAGAACTGGCCAGATCAATGGGCCTGGTTGAATAGGTGAGAACTGAGCGATAGAGGGAGAGACCAAAGTGGAGTCAAGAATACCAGAAATGTGGTAAAAGTACACAATGGAACATTATTCAGCTTTAAAAAAAAAAAAGGAAATCTTGTTATTTGCAACAACATGGATGAACCTGAAGGAAATAATGTTAAGTGAAATAAGCCAGGTGCAGAAAAACAAATACCACATGATCTCACTTATATGTGGAATCTGAAGAAGTTGAACTCATAGAAGCAGAGAGTAGAATGGTAGTTACCACAGGCTGGGGAAATGTTGGTCAAAAGATAAAATTTCAGTTAGGAGGAATAAGTCTAGAGATCTATTGTACATCATGGTGACTATAGTTAATAACAATATAGTGTATACTTGAAAATTGCTAAGAGTAGATTTTATGTGTTCTCACCACCAAAAAAGATAAACATGCGAGGTAATGCATATTTTAATCAGCTTGATATAGCCCTTCCACAATGTATACGTATCTCAAAACATCATGTTTACATCACAAATACATTCTTATCAATCAAAAATAAATGAATAAGTGTAATAAATGAAAAAATAAGGACACTAGAAAAATGACTGGCTGTGGCCCTCACCCCCTACTCCGCTTCCGAGTCAGCTCCGTCTGCACTGACCGGGTGCTATCGATGTCTCAGGCTACATAGGCGGTCAGGTAGGAACACTGAAAATGGAGCCTGAACAGCATCCTCTGTGTTCTCCCTTCCCCGGTTGCCATTCTCTGGTGTAAAGATGCAGAAACAGCCTCTCAACCAAGCCCCAAAGGTCTGTATCAAAATAAATGATCACCGTCACTTATTTATTTAACAATCTTATTTTTGTTTGTTTTTTTATCTGATCTAGATGCAGCCGCTCTCTGTTCCCTGCCCCAATGAACATCTGCACTAGGCCCAAACCTCGGAGTGATTTACCTGAAGAGTGACACCATTTATTTGAAACTACTGTGAGTACATTACACATCCAATGAAAGGCTTCTTAATTCACTTTGTTTGATTAAACACACACACACACACGCACACAATTGTAAAAATGGGTGAAATTCTAGATGGCTTCATCTCTCGGAAGCAGCAAGGTAGCCAGACTCAGTCCTGAGGTGTCCACGGTGGTTCTCGGCATCCTGCCCACAGTGCACGCCCTGTGCCCCATTGTCCCCTCCTCGCAGATGGCTGTGCCGAGCTGGATCTGCAAACACCTTGCAGGGACTGCTGCTGTTCTGCTTGGGCATCTGCACCTCTGCCTGACATGGTGGCAGATCTTCCTGCTCTGTTTGCTTCTCATCACCTTCCTGTGCCACTCTGTTGAGTCTCATAGTGGCTTGTCATCTCATGCCACCTTAATCAAATCTGTGAGCCAGCTTTGCTTGCCTGTGTTTGCCTGTCGTCTGAGCTCCAGCCCCATGCTGTTTCCTCCTTGCTATTCTAGGGAGTCAAGACACTTCCCCTGGGTCTCTGGGCTCCTTCCACCACATCTCCAAGCCATTGTATGCAGCTCAACTCTGCTCTCTGAATGCACGGGTTTATGTAGTTGATTTAGTTCCCTCCGTGTGGGATATTTATGTTAGAGAAGTACAGCCCTGTCAAGGAAAGGTGCAGAAGTAAGTTAGGGTAGGAGATACCTATGGAAAAACACTGGTGAAACATTGATATTGAGTATTCATTAATCATTACTAAAAATAACAGATGAATACATGCTTTTTTCCCACTAGAAAAGCCAGACATTTGAATGATTTAGAGGCTGTGCATGCAAAGTAACTTTATTATACATTTTAAAATGAAAATTCATTCAAGTTGTTGTATTCACAACTTTTCCTATATGTTATGAGGCAGGTAATGGGATGGTGTTTTACAGACTTCTATGTTACTGGAAAACGCTAAACCTGGGAGACTAACATCCCTCTTAGGCTTCAGGTAGGATTTTCACATTCATATTTTCTATGTCATATCTTTAGCTATTCTGGCATAAATCGAACCCAAAGGGATGAAGCCAGAGTTTTGCTTTATTTTCTGTTGCTTTTTACCTGTCATGCTTTCAGTCACCTGAGTCAGAATTGATGGTAGCTGAGGTATAGGTGATAGACAGGCCTGCCTGGTCAGGATGGGCATGGGAACCATCAGAGTATTCTGCAGTACTGACAGGACTGAGGCATTGGGGATTAAAGACATGACAGAAGATCAAAAATAGAGTTTCTTTAGTCCACCCTCACATAAGGAACTTATTTCTCTGTAATTTTCAGGAAATATCGGGTCCCGATTTTTGGGTTCTCTGAAGCACAGGAAGGTAGGAGTGGTAAAGACTCTTTTCTCTCTTAAAGGATTCAGAAACTTTGAAACCAATCTGCACCCTTAGTAGGGCTGTGCTATACAATACCTTCATTTATCCTTAAGTTCAAGTGCAAGGAGTACCTTAGAAATTCCCACATCTGAATAGTTTTCTGAGTTTTTCTTCATCCCAGAGTAACTATGGTGGGGCAAGTAGCACAGCCCTACTAGGGTACAGACTGGTTTCAAAGTTTCTGAATCCTTTAAGAGGGAAAAGAGTCTTTACCACTCTTACCTTCCTATGCTGCAGAGAACTCAGATCCAGACCCAAAAACCAGGACCTGATGTTTCCTGAAAATTACAGAGAAGTCCACAAGTGAACATCTGTTTCTGCCATAGGAAGTATTTCATCTATGCAGAATGCCATTGCCTGTTTTCACTTCTCATGGACCCTAGAGAATGGACAGATTGGATTATAATCTTTGCAGTCTTTGCTGTTCAGAAACTCAGCTTCCTCATATATAAAAGAGAAGTAATAATGAAACTTACAGAGACTTGTTAGGTACAAAAATCAATAAAGTGGATAAAGTCTAAAAATATGACCTATTTGCGGAAGTATGTCCATCCCAGTGGGTTAACAATGCTCTGGGCCTGGTCTCAAGGCTTGAGGTGGGTGGGGATGGCGAGTGTTAGATTTTAACACCTACCCAGCCCCATGTCACCTGTATAACCATGCTCAGCAGCCTTACGTACTTACCCAGATTGTTGTAATAATTAAATGAGATAATATATTGTAGTATCTGGCACAATAGAGATGAACTTATTTACTATGTAGTATCTGGCACAATAGAGATGAATGTATTTACTCACCTAAAATTTTCTAAGCATTTAGTATGTTCCAGGCATTGTTCTAGGCACTGAGGATATGACAGCAAGTGAAACAAAAATCCCTGCCTTCATGAGCTTACTTACATTTAGTTTTCTTGCTCTATGAACAGCAGATACACAAAATTGGTACTTCGAAGCTAAGAGGGAACTGATTTTATATTGCTCTGTCCTTCCTTCCAGAATGTATAATTGAAAATAAAAGGGAAAGGGAAAGAATAGGTATGCTGATTAGTCTTGTCACCCCAATATACCCCCAACAAAACCCTAGAACCATTCTTTGCTCTGATGTGTGACCCAGGAGATTGACTTTTCTTGTCTTCTACCTTTCCTTTGAATTTGGACAAAAGGAGACACCAGCAAGAGATTTGAGAGTGGGAGGAAAGAGGGGTCAGGGTATTTATTAGTTTAGTCCTTCTTCCCAACTCCAATTCTGACTGGACTTAGAAATTCTTTTCCTCGACCCCTCAGTTTAAATGGTTTAACGCTGAGACTGACAGGTTTCCACTTTTGCTAGTCTCTGGGATTTACTATCCCTTCAGGGTCACTTAACCTCATCTGGACCTCAGCATACAGTCCTTTCATTAAACTCTCTTCAGTTAAAACCTTTGCATGTGCCATCTATTTTTTGCCAGGATCCTAACTGATACAGTGAAGGAGAAATACCCTGAAAAACACATTGTAAATCAGACCTGCTAAGAAAGTTAAAAAAAAATTTGACACAAAAGCCAGGAAAAGACACACACACAAAAAAAAGAAAACTACAGACCAATATCTCTTGTGAATATAGATGCAAAAATCCTTAATAAAATACTAGCAAACCAAATTCAACAGCACATTGGAAAATAACCCACCATGACCAAGTGGGCTTCATCCCAGGGATGCAAGGATGGTTCAACATACAGAAATCAATACATGTGATTCACCACATAAACAGAAGAAAAAATAAAGATCATATGATCATCTCAATAGATGCAGAAAAAGCATTTGACAAAATTCAGCACCCTTTCATGATAAAAAAACACTCAACAAACTAGGCATAGAAGAAACATATCTCAAAATTATAAAAGCCATATATAACAAACCCACAGCCAACATCATACTGAATGGGGAAAAGTTGAAAGCATTCCCACCTAGAACTGGAATAAGATAAGGGTGCCCACTGTCACCATGTCTATTTAATAGTGCTGGAAGTCCGAGCCAGAGCAATCAGACAAGAGAAGGGAATAAGAGTATCCAAATTGGGTAAGAGGAGATCAAACTATTGCTTTTGTCTGACAATATGATCTTATATCTAGAAAACCCCAGAGACTCCACCAAGAGACTCCTGGATTTGATAAATAAATTCGGCAAAGTCTCAGGTTACAAAATCAGTGTACACAAATCAGTATCATTCCCTTATACCAATAACAGTCAAGCCGAGAGTCAAATCAAAGACTTAATGCTATTCACAATAGCCACAAAGAAAATAAAATACCTACGAATATACTTAACCAAGGAGGTGAAAGATCTCTACAAAGAGAACTATGAAACACTGAGGAATGAAATCACAGATGACACAAACAAATGGAAAAACATATCATGCTTATGGATTGGTAGAATCAACATTTTTAAAATTTCCATACTACCCAAAGTGATTTTCAGATTCAATGCAATCCCCATAAAAATACCAACATCATATTTCACAGATCTAGAAAAAATAATTCTACATTTCATTTGGAACCAGAAAAGAGCCTGAATAGCCAAAGCAATCTTAATCAAAAAGAACAAATCTGGAGGCATCACATTACCAAACTTCAAACTATACTACAAGGCTATAGTAATCAAAACAGCATGGTATTGGCATAAAAATAGAGACATAGACCTCTGGAACAGAACAGAGAACCCAGATATAAAACCATCCACATACAGCCAACTGATCTTTGACAAAGCAAGTAACAACATACACTGGGGAAAAGAAGCCCTATTCAATAAAAGGTGCTGAGAGAATTGGATAGCCACATGCAGAGGAATGAAAAAGGATCCATATCTCTCACCACTCACAAAAAATTATTACAATATGGCTAACCAGACTTAAATGTAAGTCATGAAACCATAAGAATGCTAGAAGAAAATGTTGCAGAAACTCTTCTAGATATCAGCCTAGGCAAAGAATTTATGAAGAAGACCCCAATGGCAATCACAGCAACAACAAAAATAAATGGGACTTGATTAAATTAAAAGGCTTCTGCACAGCTAAGGAAATAATCAACAGAGCAAATAGACAACCTACAAAATGAGAGAAAATATTCACAAACTATACATCCAATAAAGGGCTAATAACCAGAATCTACAAAGAACTCAAGCAAATCAGCAAGAAAAAAACAAAATAATCCCATTAAAAAGTGGGCAAAAGACATGAACAGAAGCTTTTTAAAAGAAGATAGACTAATGGCCAATAAACTTATGAATAAATGCTCAACATCACTAATCATCAGGGAAATGCAAATTAAAACCACAATGAAATACACCTTACCCTAGTTAGAATGGCTTTTATTAAAAAGTCCAAACACAATAGACACTGGTGCAGATAGAAAGAGAAAGGAACACTTATATACTGCTGGTGAGACTGCAAATTAGTACAACCTCTATGGAAAACAGTATGGAGATCCCTCAAAGAACTAAACATAGACCTACCATTTAATCCAGCAATCCCACTACTGGGTATTTACTCAAAGGAAAAGAAGTCATTTTATCAAAAAGACTCCTGGACTCAAATGTTTATTGCAGCACAATTCACAATTGCAAAGATGTGGAATCA